TGAGGTGGTGATGCAAGCCATGATCCACTGGTAGAATAATTTTGGTGAATGAGGATGTGTAAAATATCCGTATTACCATTAATGAGTATCAACATATGGTTTTTTTTAGCCATTGGATCATATAATCTAATGGTTAAAATTTATTATTATTTCTTTCACTGAGCACCATTCTCAATGTGGCTCTGATAGTCCTTTGTTTTTGCACGAAAAGGTCCGACGGTAAGTCCTGTGTGAAAGGCAGTAAGGTCCGAGAAGTGTTCGGGATTGTAGCAAGAATACGGTTTTGAAAAATAAAGGTTTTTAGAAATGGAATCATTTTTCCATTGGACTATCTCTTTGTTGTCGTATGCATTTGTAACAACATAATTAATGTAAAGCTGACATAATTCAAGAAGATAAGTAGTTATGATTTAGGAATTTTATTAGTTGATATGTGGTCGGTGTGTTCGTAACCGAGGTGAAAATTGTACAGAGTATAGAAAAACAGAGTTCCCCCCTTACTGAGGGAATTTTAGGCTATATATAGTAACTTTCTTGTTACACATCGTTCGAGATCTCCAATAATTTGGGATTAGACAAAAAGTAACTTTAGTTGGGCGGTTAGGACGGTTGGGCCCACGATCATCATGAAGTTGGGCACGAAACGTAAGGACGTCGTGTAGGCGCTTTGTCACCTGCTTCGGTATTGATGAACTCGGTTACGTCCGAGGTTTGTTGTTGTGTCGGTGGAGGGAATATTTGGGAAGTCGGTGACAGCCTGAAGTTGGAGAGAACTTGGGAGGTCGGTTCTGATGATTTATCATATCGGTGAAGAGGCATGGTTCCGAGATCACATGATGTTTGTAAAGAGAGCGTCCTTCATGCTATCCGACGTCTTTAACATGATCGTGGAGTTTAGCGTCGTGATGCTGATTTGTTCATAATTAGGCTTGGTTGTTTGAATAATCCATGAATTACCAAGTCGGTGGTCAACACTCTTCTAACACTGCTTCCACAGTTGCCGGTGATTTGGCAAGGAAGATAGTAAATAGTGAAGAAATTATTATAAAAGATTTTAATAAAACTATTAATAATTTGAAAATTTCAAAGGTAAACAAGGAAAAAACTCGTAAAACAACTTTCTTTAAGAATGATTTTACTATTAAAACTGAAAAAGATATTGAAGAATGGAATCCTCACGAATCTGAAAAAATTCTTAGTCCAAAATGTTCCCGAAAATCTAAAAAGAAGAATATTCTAGCCCGTCTTAGATCATATTTGGAAGAAAGGATTACCCAGCTCTCTTCTGAGATTGACACACGACCAGTCAATCAATATCTTGATAAAAAGGTTAGTATTTCTTCCAATAAAATATCTGAGTTAACTAATCCTCCTAATGATATAAACATGTTAAAGAAAAAATCTTAAAAACCTTCGATTATAAAAAGTTCAAAATCCTCTTGCATGACAAAACAGAAAAAGAGTTTACCGTTGATAGAAAATTCTTTCATGATGATTTTTACGCTGATTACAACTTAGAAAATAGACTATGGTTTTTCAAAAATTTATTTCATGAAAGACAAATTATTCAACAAAAAATTTATGACCACATAAATAAATACAAAATTTATATTCTATTTTTTGATTAGTTTAAGATATATTCTTTAGAAAATTCTATTGATTTTTCTTACAAAAAATCGGCAAGTCCTGTCACTGCCAAATATAAAATGACTGAATTGGAAACTATTCATGATTCAAAAAGAGTTCAATCAAACCATCCTCCTTACGAAGGAGTAAAACTTTCCATTCAAAACAAACAAATAGAAGCTGTTATACTTACCAATCCGGCAGATTGTGATAAAAATCTTTGTGGTTTGGTTTCTCAAAATAATTATACAAATACTCATTTAAATACTATTGGAAAACAATTAGATAGGATTGAAAAGCATTTTTGAAGTCAAACCATCATTTCTATAGATTCTTCAAAACCCGGTGGCAAATACAAAAATCCTCTCTTTAAACCTCATCATGGTTCAGAAAAATCTATTCAAGATATTAAAAAATATGAAGCCGAATTTGTAAAAACTCTTCAAGACCATTTTAGCAATTTATCTATTTCAAATAATTTAGTGGCTCCTGATACTCCACAATCCCAACATGCTTCAACTAGCAAAATCCATACTCTTAGCCAAGACTCAGATATAGGTGAAGCCTTCGTTCAATTTCAGGAATCACCTCAACAAATTAATAAATTAACATGGGAACAACCTCTATCAATAGTTCCTTCTCCTGATTTAAATTCTACAAAACCAATAGTCCAGTCTCGTTTCAATGCTACTTCTGTTTATGACTGGAATATTGATGGAAAATCAGAATATGAAATTATTAGTATTTTACAACAAATGACTATGGCTGCAAATGCTTATAGAACCCAAAGTGGCCTCCAAGATAGAGTCATAGCCGAAATTATTATAGTTGGATTTTCCGGTCAAATTAAAGGATGGTGGGATTATTATCTTACTAGTCAGCAACAAGAAGAAATTCTTGATGCCATTAAAACTGGCGAAGATGATGTTCCCATATTTGATCCTGATGGAAATCCACAACAAGATGCAGTAGCTAGGTTAATCCTTACGATTTCATTACATTTCGTAGGAGATCCATCTCGTTTAAAGGATAAAAATGCTGAGCTCCTTTCAAACCTTAGGTGTCGAAAACTTAGTGATTTTCTTAATTATAAAGTACCTTTTTCACAAGGGTAATGCTCAGAGAAGACTCTAGCCAGCCTTTTTGGAAAGTAAAATTCTTAGCAGGATTACCAAACCTACTAGGTGAAAAGGTTAGGAACCGTATTAGAGAAATATGCGGTAAACAAATGATTCCTTATGATGAATATACCTACGGTCAACTTGTTAGTATAATTTAACAAGAAGGTCTAAAAATCTGTCAAGATTTAAAACTCCAAAAACATCTCAAATGGGAGATGAAAAAACCAAAATTAGAACTAGGAAATTTCTGCCAACAATTTGATATCGACCCAAACAAGCCTAATAATTGTTGTTCAGGAGGTTGTAGTTCTACAAGAAAAAACAAAAACCTTCTAAAAATTATTATAAATCCACTAAAAATTATAGAGATAATCTTGAAATAGATTATTATAAGAAATCTGAAAGAATAAATCCTTATTCAAAACCTAAACGAAAACAAAATTCTAGTGATTGGTTAAAAAATGTCGAATGCTTCAAATGTCATAAGAAGGGACATACAACCAATTATTGTAGACTTAACAAAATATTACAAGAATTAAAACTTGAAGATGAAGTAATTAACAAAATTTCTAATCTTCTAGTTGAGTAATCGGATAATTCAAATTCCGACTCTAGTACAGAGTCAGCTTATTCCTTTAATAAAAAGGGATCCCCTCAAGTAGATGATGAAATAGACTCATCTAGCTTCCACTCTAAGTCTAAGTCAGAAAACCATATTAGCGTTCTAACCAAGGAACAAGAATTCCACCTTGAAATCATGAAGAACATTCATGACCCACACCTGCAAAAAGAGTACATTGACAGGCTATTCGATAAGAAAGCTTGTAAAAATACGGAAACACCAAATACATGTAAAAATACTTACGACTTAACAAATATATTAAACAAAACAAAAAAGGTAAAAACTAAAAATACTACTACTAATGTTTGCGAAAGGAAATTAAAGAAATAAAATATGAACTAAAATATTTATTAAAGCAAAAGCACAGTCAGGATATTGGATCCATAATACATCTTCTTGATGAATTCAAAAATTCTTCGGAGTCTGAAGATTCTCAAAAGTCTAAAGAATCAGAAGAGTCTGAGGAAGAAAATGAACAGGGAAAAATTGAGTTAAACAACTTGCAAAACATCTTTGATAATTTCTTGTTTATTCTCAAAGAAATCACTTCCCGGAAATACCTTATACAAATTACTTTACTGAAAATTTCAAAATAAATACAGTTGCACTTTTTGATACTGGTGCAGACTTGAATTGTATTAAAAACGGTATTATACCCAAAAGATTTCAAGAAGAAACTACAGAAAGTCTTTCTACAGCAAATAATTCTAAAATGGATATTTGTTCAAAAACCGAAGCCATTATTGTCAATTATGGTACTTCGTTAAAAACATCTTTTCTGCTTGTAAAGGATATAACTCACACGGTCATTTAGGGACTCCTTTTAAAAATTTAATCACCCCTTATACTGTGGGAACAAATTCTATTTCCTTTAAAACCAATAACAAAAGATATATTTTGATTTTCTTGAAAAACCAAAAACTGAGAATTTGAATTTAATCAAAGCTTATTCTATTCACACTATAAATAGTCTTACATTGACAAAAAATCTTGTTGAAAAACAACATTCTCACAAAACAATTTCCAAATTACAAATTCCTTCTAACCCTTCAAATACTTGGGAAGAAAAAGAATTATATTATTTGTCTTCCTTATGGTGTAAAATCAAAATTTTTGGAAAACTTTTTTACCAAACCAAAATATTTACTTTTCAAACAAACATTGAGTACTATTTTATGTTCTTACATTTATTCTTGCAGGACTTCCCCTTCAAAGGCCTAGAACATAGCCCATTTCCGACAGATCATCAGATATTGGTAAACAAATTTTATTGCAAAAATAAGAGACAACTACAACGAAGCTTAATTGCTTTAGAGTGGTATCTCTTCAACAAAACACAATCCCAGTATTTTGTAATTCTCAAAGGTGTTTTCAAAAGTTTATTTTCAATAGAACACCTCGTAGAAATACAAAATCCGGTTTTCTATGGATTTCATGATCTCCAGGAAACCATAAAATTATCTTATAAATCTTTTCAAAACACATTTTTTATGGATCCCCTAGTCTAGAAAGAATTTGAACAATCTTTCTCTCAAGTTCGAATCCTTTCCAAAAAACCATATACAAATACCGAGACATCTTCCCGACTGATGAAAAAAATGAGAAACCTCACAAACCAAAATATGAGCCATAAACGTCCAAATCCCTCACCTCAAATATGCCTTGATCCAGTTCGTTTATACATCAACAACTTTCAAGCCTTCCACATGATATAAGAAAAATAATTTTCCAAAAAGCCAAAGAAAAATTCGAGAAAAAAGAAGAAAAAATACATGAATTTCTTACATGAGCGAGGTTAGCCATCTTATGGGTGTTATTTGAGTTGAGTGGACGCAAGCTGAAATTTATGTTCGATTCATAAAGAAAAGCCAAATAGGTAAACATATTTCCTCAATGAAATGACAATAGATAACACACACAAAAGTTAAACACACCAGTCACTTTTATTTAGCAAAGTAGCAAAGATCACAGGTGGGGAAGTTCACATAGTTGATGAAAAATTATAGATCAGTCACAAGCCAACGAACAACATTCGAATTTCACACAAAGGTCTCAGACGAAAAATTATCTTTCTTATTTGATGAGAGTCTTCACTATAGACTTGACGTTAAGCTTCTTCAAGTCGGTATAAGACTGCCCGCACCCGACAAACATTACAGGTGCTCCCGATATGTATACCATTGACAATGCAGCTCCCACCTAAAAATCATTAACTATGTACTTAGTATAAATATCGACTAAATAGATGTACAAGCTAAGAAGAAGAGCTTTTACAAGGTGTTCGTTTTTTACCTTGTCATCGATAGTATCGAATTTAGTCAAGAGGATTCCATCAATCAACCTGGGATTGGGAGAGTGAGAGTGAGAGGGAGAGGGAGATAGGTCGCCTAGTTTCTGCAACATATTCAAGAAAAGAATTCTTATCAATAAAAGTGAAAATAAAGAATTTGGTGACACTAAGGCTGTGTTTGGTAAGCATATAAGCTAGCTTATGAGTTAGGTTTACCAAACACGTAAAATAAAAAGGTGAACGATTCTGATTGACCTGATTAAACTTGCACAATTGATCCACAGCATCATTCCCCACGAGTGCCTCGCCAACAAACAAAACGAGGTCCGGATTGTTCACACATACAAGCTTGGACAGAGCTCGCATCAATGGGTCGTTATCCTAAACCAATATAATACACATCACTAAAATGTAGTGCTTAGAATAATAAAGAATTCCATCAACACGTTTTTCTCGTTTCATAACATAGATTATCAGATCCAAATTACCTGCATTCTTCCAGCTGTATCGACCAGAACAACATCCGATCCATTTCGAGTGGCCTCTTGGATGGCCTCTTTTGCCACGATTGCGGGATCTTTCCCATAACCCTTCTCAAATATCGGGATCTGATAGGAAATACCATTTATCATCAGAGTTAGATGTAAAATCAGCCGCCTTTCAATATCTGGAGTGAAAGAACTGACTAGTCGGGCATTAAAACTCTACCTGGAGCCTTCGTGCATGAGTACGCAGCTGCTCGACTGCACCTGATCTGAACGTGTCGCAAGCAGCCATCATGACATTGATATTGTGCTTCAGAAGCCAGTAAGCAACCTGTAGAGGCTTTACAAGATAAATACATGCAACTTAACAAAGAAGATATATTATCAACTTTCAAAACGTTGCTAAACGGAACTAACCTTAGTAAGATTGGTGGATTTACCAACTCCATTAACTCCAACAAAAACCACGACGTAGGGTTTTCCTTGCTCCTTGGCAGCATGGACATCTCTAAGAATGTCAATGGAGCGTCTTGGAGTTAAGATACGAACAAGGGCATCTTCCATGGCAGTCTGATAAGAAATCAATGTGAGTAACACTAGGTAAAAACAGGAAAAGTGGCATCATAGATTTTTATTTTTATTTTTTATTCAAAAATTAAAATGAAATGTTGAGTATGCATTTACTTAATTGCTATTGGAATTTCCTTAATTGTTCCAGCAACGCTTGTGTACCTGAACAGTTGAAGAAATTCTGGTAAAAGAGGCTAGCCTCTTGCCCTCAAGACTTGCAGCTACTGAATCACAAAGTTTTTCAGCTATTTCTTCTGCCTGCTCAACAAAACCCAATTCAGAAAAACAGGGCGAGAAGTATTAATATCGAACGAAGAATGAGTTAGTAGAATATTAGTAGAAGTGAAGGGGATGAACTGGTAGATAAGATGTGAACAACATACCACATTCTTGGTCATGAGCCTGTCCTTGAGAGCATTGAGGGCTGGTTCTAGGTCAGAGTTCTCCAAGTTTGCTTTCCCAGCAATACTGCAAATATAAACATCAGGTTAAAACAGACCAAGTGCATAATTACCTCATCAAATGTAGTGTTACTTTTAAAAATAATTATTAATGCAACAAATGGACTCAGCAATATTTGTATGAAAAAGATAATACATCTTCACATATTAAGAACCGACAGAATAAACAATAAGATAAAATTCTAATACTTCAACACGGGAGAATAAAATGTTTCCCCATCTCCACAGGCATGCTTGTAGTAATTCATGAAGACCGTAAGCAATTAAAAAGACCCGGGAGAAAATCAACACTTGTCAAATAAAAACACCCGAGTGACTAAAAATAAGAGAGAAAGGAGCATATTCCCTTTCCAGTTCCCACCTCATACTTAAAATTTCATAAAGGAGGTACACGCAATTAACGACCAACAGTTGTATACTCACATATAGGTTTGAAAGCATGAATAAATCATAACAAGAATGAAAAAATTAGACTTGAGGTGCATGACAGCAAATATACCTCTGGAACATGGACGACAACCACCCTTTCTTCTTCCCATCAGGCCCACCATCCTTTCCCGTCTCCTCCTCCTCCTCAGATTCGCTATCACTGCTAACAATATCCTCTTTATCCATCATACTCTCCCCTATATCTTCCACCACACCCGACACGTTGTCTTCACCGGCCCCATCTGTATAATCGAGCTTCGTCTCGTTGGGCGAATCAGCCCAAACCCTATTCTTTTTCGTCACCTTCTTCGGCTCCACCTTAGGGACCTTTCCAACTGTCTTCTTTCGGCCTTTCGAACTCCGCTTCGGCCGTTTGCTCATATCAGAAGGCCCGTTGTTCGAGCTAATCACTTCCCTTGTTCCTGTACTGCTGTTACTAATACCCATCCTAAGGCTACCATTTTCTAACGGAGGATCTAAGGCATCATCATCACCATCTTTACCGGACTCATTCCCCTTCTTTTTTTGATTGCCTCCATCGAACATGCCATTGGCCACCCGTGCCTGTTTCTTGCCAAGATTATTGTTGTTCAACGACTTGACCACCTGTTTCGACTTCTTCATCTCCTCCGCACGGGCCTCGGCTTCCTTCTTCAGCTGCTGGAAAATATCGTCAAAGTTGGCGTACGAGGTCCGTTTGGGGTCGTAATTCTCGGAAAATTCCTTTTTCACCATAGCAAGAAGGTCATCCACGTAGAGGAGGTGGAGGTGGAGGTGGAGGTGGAGGTGGAGGATCACGGCAACAAACACGAGGCCTAGCTCATTGTGGAAGGTCCACTTGAGGGTGTATGAATCATAGTTGTACGAAGCAGCACCCGAACGCTCCTCGAGAAGGCAGGAGCCAATGAGGGTGTCGATGGGTGAGCCCCTGAGTGCATTGCCGCACGTCCAGAGGAGCAGGCCTCCTCTTGTGAAGATGAGTAGTTGCTCCAACATCTTGGGAACTCGAGTGGGTTATAACTACTGTGAAAAATTGAACAGAAAAGAAAGAAACATGGATGTTTTCATCAGACCCCATTTTCATAGTAGAAGAATTCGAAACAAACATTGCGCGATTTAATCGGGAAATAGGCATCAATCCAGGTCAACGTCTTATTAGAAACACAAATAAAGCATATCATAACTGCAGATGGAAAGGATCAAAACCCACAAATAACTGCTGAATCATAGTGGACGACATAAGTTTCTTTCGTTTCAATTCCACTCAACAAACAAACAAACACACGATTGATGATCCCAATGGAAAAAAAAAAGACCTTCACAGCTATTTCACTAGGATCCAGATGGAACCAAGATTTCTCTTTTAAAACAAAAAAATTACACCAAATTCCAATCGAAAAAAACTAAATTAAAGCCGCAAATGCCAATTAAATCGATCCCCACAACAACAAGCCAGCCAATCAACAGAAATCTAACCCCAAATCCCTCGATCGTGAACAGATCATGCGCAACTAACCAGATTCAATTTTTTCAACCACTGAGAAAAAAACCAGGTATATCCGACTCAGCGCCGTACCTCGATCCACAAGAAACCAATCTCCCTCGCCTGAATAATTCTTCCAATTTCGTTCTCAAGCAAGCCCACGATGATGAAGGAAAGCGAAAAAAACAATAACAGCGGAAAATAGACAAAGAATCTTACGTTCCATTTAATTATACTATTGCCTATGCCTATCCCGTGCGATGATGGCTTTTTTACTTAACACCTTTTATAAAACTTTATTAAATATAATTATTTATGTTTAACATCCCCTTAGTTTAACATAAGGGCATCGTTTACTTCAAGGGATGGGATAACACAAATTAATCCCCCCTACTTTCCACGTCAGCATTTAATCCCATGTTTACTTTTGGGTATGGATTTTGTCTAAACTATCCCTTCTTTACTTTGATGGATTAGTCAAAGTCATAAAAACCTACAAAGACATGAGTACCCCTGTGATTCCTTATTCGGTTGCCCTAATTCGACGAGAGGCATTCAACCATCGGTTTGCCCTAATTCGACGAGAGACGAGCGGCGACATCACTCCCGACGATCAAAGACAGTTGCTTTACTTCGAGGGTTGACGACGTCCTCACCACATCAACTCATGAACCTCAGCATGTAGACTCCTCAATGAACAGAGCCTCCATCATTAAATCCAAAACGACGCAGAACAATAACAATGATAAGAAGCTGTTTACCTTAACGTGAAACGGAGAACAGCCGAGAGCTTTTGGCGACTGGAGACGAGGGTGTCCTCACAGGAAGAAACCTTTTCGGAAGAAAATAAAAGATACAGAAGTTCACGAGTTTGATTAACAGCGAACCTTCATTGAGGCAAATTAAGGGAGAATTGAAATGAAAAAGGTTGAAATAGAGATTTTCGAGCTCACCTTTAGGCCCGGCAGAGAATCAAAAGCGTAAAGCCTCAGAACTGTGGGGTCGTCCTTTCTGCAGAAATTAGGGCAAACTCGATGTGAACCTTTGTACCCCCAATGCCTCTAACAAATGGATGAACAAATGGAAATGGAAATGCCTAATATGGCGACTGTGAGAGAACCGTACCTTCGCGTTCGACGGAGATTCCGAAGCTTGCACCTGCTACAGCAATGGAGTCGTAAGAGATTAGGGCAAAAAATGGCCAACGTCCCGTTTTGTTATCTGCTGGGATCTTGGTAAATCTTGCGAAATTGAGGGGTGTTTTGGTCACATCATACAACATTCTGAGGGTAAAAAAGGGAAGCAAAAGAAGGGATTATTTAATCAGGTGTGAGGGGCGGGATTTTTTTGTCCCAAGCGGCCGGATGAAAATTTTCCACCTCACTGCCATGTCATTAAAATTCAATCCCAATCCGCGCAAGTAAACGTAGGATAATCAGGACTAATTGTCTTATCCTGTCCTATCCCCCAATGTAAACGACACCAAGAAGTATAAAAATTATATCCCCTCTTAATATAATTTGAAAAGAGCCCTGCCTCGCATGCTTTGGAAGCTTACTTGACAACATTAAATACTTCGGTTTTTGGTTCGAATACATTCCATAATTGTTTAAAATAAAATACTTAATAATACATTGAAATAGTGATAGAATATTACATGATCTTTCTAATACAAATAAAATAAATTTTGATGAACACCATGATAAATAAATTATTTAATTTTTTTTAGAATATCTATACAAATACATTGAAATAGTTATAGAAATATAATTTGAAAACGTGCTGAGTCTAAATGGCTGCCTCGCACGCTTCGAAGCTTACTTGGCAACATTACAAATGACTGCCTCGCACACTTCGGAAGCTTACTTGGCAACATTACATGCTTCGACTTTTGGTTCGGATACATTCCCTAATTGTTTAAAATCAAATACTTAATAAATAGAAATTTTCCTTAATCCGATCCCTCCAACTCCCAAATAAATAGGATTCTTATATGCCGTGTAAATCCTCCAACTCCAAACTAAATAAGATTCTTATCTTATAAAGCTTACTTGGCAACATTACATCTAAAAAAAATACCTTTTATTTAGCTTTATATATTATTTTATACGGTGTAAATCAAAATAAAAAATCTAGCTTTATATATTATTTTATTTATATAATTAATGTAACCAATAATTTTTTATATACTTTAAATTAAAAAATACTATAATTTTACAAAAGCTATATAGCCACTTATATATTATATCTTTTTAATCCAAATAAATTATTTAAATCTTTTTAGAATATCTATAAAAATACATTGAAATAGTGATAGAATATTACATGATCTTTCTAATATAAATAGAATAAATTTTGATGAACACCATGGTAAATAAATTATTTAAATTTTTTTAGAATATCTATACAAATACATTGAAATATTTATAGAAATATAATTTGAAAACGTGCTGAGACTAAATGGCTGCCTCGCACGCTTCGGAAGCTTACTTGGCAACATTACATGCTTCGGCTTTTGGTTCGGATACATTCCCTAATTGTTTAAAATAAAATACTTAATAAATAAAAAATTTCCTTAATCCGATCCCTCCAACTCCCAAATAAATAGGATTCTTATATGCCATGTAAATCCTCCAACTCCAAACTAAATAAGATTCTTATCTTATAAAGCTTACTTGGCAACATTACATCTAAAAAAAATACTTTTTATTTAGCTTTATATATTATTTTATATGGTGTAAATCAAAATAAAAAATTTAGCTTTATATATTATATTATTTATATAATTAATGTAAACAATAATTTTTTTATATAGTTTAAATTAAAAACATACTATAATTTTATAAAAACTATATAGCCACTTATATATTATATCTTTTAAATCCAAATAAATTATTTAAATCTTTTTAGGATATTTATAAAAATACATTGAAATAGTGATAGAATATTACATGGTCTTTCTAATATAAATAAAATAAATTTTGATGAACACCATGGTAAATAAATTATTTAAATTTTTTTAGAATATCTATACAAATACATTGAAATAGTTATAGAATATTACATGATCTTTCTAATATATTTTAAAGAGTTGAAATAGTTATACAACAACATGTGTTTTTTCTATTATTTTATGTTTTATATATTTTTTTCAAACAACCCGTGTAGTACACGGGTGTCATACTAGTATTATTTATTTCAATATAATGAGTGTCCCAAATCAAATCAATAACATCCAATACATGATATATGATAAAATTAATTATTGATCGTCATGTTTTTTGAATAAATATATAAATATATATTTAATAAATATGGCATATTCAAGATTCGCATATGGGCCAGATTTACCCGTTGTATTCAAGGAAATCATTGTTCATATTTTAGGAATTAAGGCATACACAATATTTTTCTCAAAATAACATTCTTGTTTTTTTTTTTTTTTAATTCGAATTCAAATTTTCATCTAGCCGCTATTTTTCAAAGAAAAAAAAAACTAAAAATAGTAATTTTGAAAATTTTAAGCGAAAAATTTAATGTTATTTCAAGTAAATCTCTCTCTTTATTATATGGTAATCGATCAATTTAATATTATTCGAAAAAATAATATGACATTAAAAGAAAATAGAATTCTTGTTAATATAATCTTTAAAATTCGTAGTGATCTATGAAAATATTATTAAAGCTCTAAAATTGATTGACAAATTTGTAGTGATCGATGATTATAATTTTTATTAATAGAAAAATGTGTGGTTTGTTAAGTAAGTTGTAAGATAAATAAGGAGATTGAATTCTTAAAAGATCCTCAGGTTTTTGAATTTTATACATTATATAAATTGATTGGCAAATGTTTTCCAAAATAAGTTGTTGAGATAAATTAAGTTGGTATGATAAATAAGGACAATATATTTCGGGAGATAGTGTAAACCGTTCTTTTTTTTTTTTCTCAAACAATTTTTGTTTTATTTAGTGTATATGTAATAAGAATTTCTTTAATTTGAAAATCATAATTTAAAAGAAAAAATTGATGATTAAGAATTTTAATATTTTGAAATTATTTAAGTAAGTTGTTAGATAAAAAAGGAGATTAGATTGTTTTTTTTTTCAAACGATTAGATTGTTAAATATAGATATAATTCTTAAAAGGTAAATTTGTTTTATTTATTGTACATGTAATAAGAAATTCTTTAATTTAAAAATCGTCACTTTGAAAAATAAAATAGAATTTGATGATTAAGAATTCTAAAATTTTGAAATATTTTGTCGAATCAATTACTATATAGGATACGTTTCAATATAGTATTCTTTGACCGGATATATATAGAATATGTAAAATATATATGATGATAAGTTCAATAGCTGATGCGATGCTAATTTGGTTGAGGATATTGATTAAGTAGGAATGAATATAGATATGCATATCAATTGAACCACACATAAAGCAAAAATATTGTTTTTTAGTAGGTTGAGGAATCTGATTATTTAGGTATAAAATTATGATATGCATACCAACTCATACTACTTCAAATAAAATCGAATTCTTATACGGTTGTGGATATTCTTTAGTTAGGTATAACAGATGATTAGAAGATATTGCGTTGCTCGGACATTTTTGCAAAGGACATTTGGAGGATCATGGAATATATTTTGTTTTATTTGACCAGATTATTATCAGTAATTACATAATTTAGAGGATCATGAGAAATATTTTGTTTTTATTGAAACAGATTATGTATAGCTATTATATTTACTTATTTACTTTCCTTTGTAAGCAATATCGGACAATGCATACACGTACATAGGGAGCCGCATTGTTTGACCAACGGGATTTTGTACAACTATTGTTGATTTTCTTTTTTTGAATTCAAAAAACATTCTGCCATTTGTAAAAAAATTTAAAAAAAGTTATTAATAAAAGTAAAAACGAATTATTTAGGCAGAAAATTAATTATTTTTTCCGGTAATTGTTAAATCTTTTTATATTTATATAAATGCTATTACACCAATCATGCCATTATAGAATGACTAATTCTATGGATGAACTTTGCAATCTATATATATATATAAAGATTTGATTATTTTTTAAATAGTAACTATTTACCACCAAAAAAATGTATTTACTATTTTGAGAAATTAATTTAACAATTTATGGTATATTTTAAATAATTAGTTATGGAAATTGCGGCTCATTATTTAAGTAAATAATTAAATCATATTAAAATACATTTTTAAGAT